TCGAGACTTTCCGTTCGGGAGCCGCACCAATACTTGTTGCTACAGCTGTTTGTTTCTCTTTTTTTTTACTGCAATTACATGTGTTTTGTTTTATTTGCAGTCGTTTTTTTGGGGGGCTTTTTTGGAATTGTTTCGTGTTTCAGGTTGCTGCTCGTGGGCTTGACATACCGAACGTGAAACATGTTATTAATTATGATTTACCGACAGACATCGATGAATATGTGCATCGTATTGGCCGCACAGGACGTGTCGGAAATGTTGGTAAGTGAAGGACTGCTTTGTTTTGATTGGCGCTCTTCCTGGCGAATTAGACGGAACCAGTTCTGGCAGTATTACGGCAAGTAAGAGGAGTGAAGACAAAACACTACTAGAATTAATAAGCGTGAAAAAAACCGGAAATGTTAACTTACTGAGAGGCATATTTGTGGATGCGAATGTGTAAAAGCGATCGAAACTACTACACGTGAAGAAGCCGGGAGTGAATGGTTCATGTATGTGTGTTCTAAAATGAAGTACGAAACAAGCTAGGAAACGATGATACTGCCAGAGCACTGAAACCACATAATCGATCATTCAGGATCAATCTAGCACCACGAAAAACTCAGTGAATCATGCACGAAGTTATGCCTTCTCAAAATAATAAGCCCACTCTTACCTTCTTTTCTCACACTGTTTAAGGTTAAGTGGAAATTTTGTTAGAAAATGTAGAAATGGATGATAGAAAAGGTCAAAAAAGAGTAAAAAAAGGGGAAGATATAAAAAGAAGTAATAAATTAGGTAAGAAATGTTTCAGCTGTTGCAGCTAGAGTCGTCAGTGTTAACGTACTAAGTGTGTCTTTTAAAATGCCGACATTGCTTGTGTGTCATTCCGATACTGCACTAATATACCCAAGAAGGTTTTTTTGAAAAGGACATTGTAGAAAAGATGATAAAATCGTTTTCTTTCAGGACTAGCAACTTCTTTCTTTAACGACAAGAATCGAAATATAGCGCGCGATTTGGCAGAATTGGTTGTTGAGGCAAACCAGGAGCTTCCAGAGTGGCTAGAAAAAATGGCGACTGATGCGCAGCGATGTGGAACACGACCAAATCGTGCGAAGGGAGGCAGGTTCGTAGTTTTGAAATCTTATGGAACGATTAAGTTCTTTCGGATGTTTCGAAGTTCATTGTTTTCTGCCTTCACGCTACCTCCATTATTAGCAGCATCTCCGCTGAAATTTCTGACTTTTTGAGCCCCCCCTTACCTATTTTACCGTTTATTTCCCTTGGATTTGCTTCACATCTCTCGCGGTGGGTATGAAATTAATATGTATTTCGGTCTGCGAAGCCCTCTATGGTGAGCACTCCCTCCCTGGAGTTTTGTTGTTTTCCCTGCCCTTCGTCTGTTGCCGTCGAACTGCTCTGGCCTCTGCCATTGAGGAATCTGAAATGTTGCAGATAGTTAAATATGTTTTGGGGAATTCTTGTGATTAATGATTCAAGGGTGCAGTGGTGTAAAGTCATTCCGGTCTCCCCGACCTTTTTCATATTTCCTTTTGCATGATTGGACCGGAAATATGTAAAGATGGCGAGTAATTGCATTTTTCTAAGATCACTTGAATGTGAATCTCTGGCTGTAGCTTTCAGTGGAAGTAATTCTGTCTTAATTAGTTGAATTTTAGACAAAATTTTCATTACACATATTCACTATTTTTTGGCAAAAAAAAAATTCCTGTAGTTCCGTTAAAAGTTAGAATTAGAGGCTTGTTAACATCCAGCTCCACATTCGCAAATATCTCTGATGCGATTTTGCGATTTCGCTTCACACAACTTTCTGCTGCAAAGAGCTCTTGAACAATTCGTTTTATATTCGATAAAAATCGGTATCACCTTCTCAGTCGAGGGCTCGCGTTCCGTAGATCTGCGCTGTTTGTCCTGTCCATGAGTAGACTTGTGTTTTTAAGCGTATTTTGATCCACTTAGGCATTGACGAGCAGTGTTTTTGAATGGAGAACTTATGTTTCAGCCGTTTCGGAGGTCGGGATCATCGTGTTCAGTATACAGGAAGCGGTGG